GGTAGAAAATTTTTGAGATATTCTCATTTCTATGTGAAGTCTTTATTTGTGCAATTGAAGAAATTGGTTTCAAGAGATAAATCTCCTGAAGAAAAGCAATCACCTTCAGTTGCTTTTTCTTTTAAGCCAAAAGATGCAGTCAGAAGCTGAACTTGTCGTTTCCTAAGTAAGCTTTCATTATCAACAAGATATTACTGGAAGTAGCATAGAACCTGTTATGTAGGCACAGTTCCACTCTGACAGATGGGCATAATGTAGCCATGCCAGAGAGCCATTATATAGATCACATAGCAGGGTGTGAAGCAAGGAATTTTTATCCAGGATTGCCACTGAGACGTTCAGTGAGCTTGAAGTTCAGGAAATGTACTCTGGCTGGGACATCGCATAGGATGACCAAACACGTAAAAATAGTCTGGGTTATAAGTTCTGATGGGTTTTTACTGGGGGTGGAGGTGGGAGGGGGGAAGACCAATTGCAGTGAGGCTTCTGTTTCTTTTTGGCTGTCTGCTGAAGTCACCTAGTGGTCTCAGCCAAAAGAATTCTGCTACAGGCACGCATTTCTCCCTGATTAATTACCTAGGTACGGGAACATTAACAGTATGTAATCTGTCTTGTAAGAAAGCTGGTGTTTTAGTCTATGTATATCTGTTTGGATACATAGTTGTAGGATAAGGAGCTACTGATGTAGGGCGAAATACTGGTGTGAAAATAGGGCTAAAATAGAAAATTTTCAGTAATAATGAATAAAGCTTCTGACTGAAGATTTGGATAGTGAAAGCACTGCAGAATTTTGGCAAATACTGTTACTTGAACAAATGCTTTTGTGCGTTGCACTAGTCAGTCTTTATGTATGTCATTGTCATTTCCTCAGAAGCTTTGTCAGACTGCATAGCTTCAATGTTCTAATCCTTTGTTTCAAGTCTAACTCAGCCTTCAAACAGTTAGATTTTGCTAACTTTCCTGAAAGCTATTGCTAATCTGTACTTTTTGGGGAGCTTGGTTTCTAAAAAGTTTCTGAATGTTGCAAATAGTGATGGCGTGGAACCATCATTTAAAAGATGACACAGTATGTGAAAGAACAGGTGTGAAAAATGAAGTAAATGAAATGGCTTTTTAAACATTAATTGACGTTTCGTGGGCTTCTGCTAAGAGGATGTGTTTTCTTAACTGTGCTAAGTAGTTCATTTTTTTCTTTTTGGCTAAATATTTTTCTTCTGAAATGAAATTACATAATACTATTTAACTGATGCTTTGTTACATGTCTTTTTTTTTAATTAGAATTTGTAGTTAAGCTTTATATGAAATTATAAAATTTGATTTAATGCTTTCTTCCAGTACCTGAACTAATGTTCACCGCATTAGATGGTATAGTCATCACTGAGAAGCTTTGTTCTTCTAACAAATGTACCCAAAATAAATTCAGTTAGGGTCATAGTGGTTTGGTTTAATACTATTAAGATATTAAGTAGTGTAATTACTTTCAGATAGTTCTCCCTTCCCAGCGGATGAGATTTTTAGTTTTGATGCCTGCTTAAAGCATGAGAATAACAGTAAAATTAATGTCATAACCTTTACAGCCTATTTATCATTGTCTGCGTTGTATCCTGAAGGATTTTGTCTAACATCTAAAATAAACATCCTAGTATGGACAAGCATCAAATTAGGTTAATTGAGTTCACCTAATATTCAGAACCCATGTGTCTGTCAGGACACCAATTTCCTGTAAAGACCTATGAGTGTCTTTCCATGAAGATTACTTTTGAATTATTACAAGTGTATGCTCTGCTTCCTTTGATTGTTGAAGGCAATTTACAGTGTAGTTTTAAGACTTTTTCATTTTATTTGATTTTTTTTTTTCTTCTGTATTTATCCTTTCATTCTGTGGTAACATAAGGAGGAGTGTAAACATGATAGAGCTTTTTGTGGCATTAAGATGAATTTGACTTTTTAATTCTATCCAGCTTGAACTCCACTTGTTTGAAATTCTTAGATCCATTAACAGCAGATTTCAAGGGACTATTCTGTGTTCTGGAGTACTGCATTTTGAATGTCTTTTTTAACTGTCTTATCTTAGTGTTACAAGCGGAACAAAACAGATTTTAAGATTCTGTAGAAATGTACAAGTTTTATCATTTGGTTGAATGATGTAAACTTGATTATATTGGTCCATACTCAATGTCATCTTTTGTATCTGGAAAGAACTGGTATTGGAAGAGTAGAAGTGCTATGAAGTCCATTAATAATAAGAAAGTCTCCTAGAATGATTTCCACTTCAGCAGTCATTAAAAGTTAAAACCAATAGGACATCTTGAAGTGATGGCCAACATAACGTCTGTTCTGGATGTAGGAGTGTGAAATATGTACAAACTGCAGCTAATAATTTTATTTCTAAGATTGGATCTTTTTGGACGTGACATTGGTTTTAGGACGAAGTAAACACAACAAGTTAGACTTGCCAGCAAATGAAACAAAGAAAGAAAGAAAGAAATGTGGTGAGGGTAAGTTACAGGTAGTCGTGTAGATGTTCTGTCCTTGAATCCTGTGCGTTCATTCAGAATTTCAGAAATTTTTGAACTGACAGCAGCATACGTGTTAGGACACCCATCAAATGTGAGTAGCTATTGAGTAGCTGTTAAGCATGTTACAGAGTGGCTGAAAAATGTCACGAATTTTCAGTGAGCAAGGGCCATTAATCATTGTGTTTATACAAAAATGCCAGCGGGGCCAGTTCCCAGAGCAGCACCAGGCAGCGATCAAAAAGCAGCGTTGCTGTTGATGGAAAATGTGGATATAGTAAACGTGTAAAATCCCCTCCGGTCCCTGGAAGTTTCGTGTTCCCAGGCTACAGCCCGATGGTCCGCTCCGTCGCGGTGGCCCAGGGACGCTTTGGGGCACGTTCCCGCTGTGTGGAGCGGTGCCCCGGGAGCCCGGAGCAGTGTGAGCGCTACGGCCGGGCTGTTGGTTAAGCACCACGGACAGGGCCCGGGCGGCCGGCGATCTGCTGCTGTTCGTGTTGGAGCTGTGTGTCAGTCAGCGGGTGGTGCCTTTCCATAGCCTCCAAAATGAGTATCGGGGGAACAAGAATTTTTATACCCTGTGTGAGTCCTCTCTTGTTCTTTAACATACTGGTTGTGTTCAGCCAAACCAAACTATGATGCAGCCAATCCAGATGCTGGACCATTTCATGGCAAAGAAAACCTAAGTAGATAACAGCATAATTTTATGTTGTAATTGCATAATGTCTTTCATACTTTACTGTTAAATCACACTGGAAAGAAACAACTGATGGCCAAGTAGCCACTTAGTAATTTATGTCAAACACTGTGCAGTAGAATGCTAAGAACCAATGTCAAGCACAGGAGAGGTGGCAGTATAATGTTTGCTTCACAAACGTATGCGAGCATTCTTCATTGTAACATCCATGGAAGATTCTGCTTATCAGTCAGTTATGGAGGATCCATGCATCCATGAAAGGAAACAGATGTTTAAGCCTATATTGTCTGTGTGTCTTCAGAATACATTGTCCCATTGAAAATCATGACATATTTTCTTTCTTTGAGTTTAACAGGGATTTTGAATTACAAGAAACCTAAGTTGTAGACAAAACTGAAATATGAATGCATATAAGCAATTCAGTGAAACACTTGGTTTAAAACTCAGGTATAGTTGCATGAGGTACAAGCATACTGTGATCTATACAGCAGTAATTTTGGAAAACTGTTGCTGTATTTGTGTTGTTAATAAACCCAGTCTTTTTCAACAGGTGAAAAAAAATTTGCTTTTTCAGGGACCTTTTTAGTTTTGCTTTTAGTATGGTGTTTTTTGAATGAACCAGCAGGTTAAAATTTGAAAATGTATTGTCACTGTTAGTGTGTAGCAGTAGTGAGCTATTTAGTTTTTGAGAGTGAAGAACTGTTGGGAAAAAGAGTATTAATGGGCATGTGAATGAAGTCTCAGTTCATGTATTGACGGAAGTGTGCTTTGAAAATAAAATTGAAGGCTGAATAGATACAGAACTGCTGAACACACTGATTCTAAGTTTACTTTTGTTCACTTAGATAAATTAAAAGATTAGTGTGGAAAAGATGGTCATTGTTTGTGACCTCTGTACTTCAGCAAAAGCTGCTAATACCCAGAAATTACTACGATTTGAATAAAGTTTGAGTGTTGAGTCTGCAAGGTTGAACACGTAACACAGTAGTGCTTGAAAGAACATGTGAAAACATTTGCATTTTACAGGATACTAACAGTAGCTAAAAATCTGTCAAGGGATCTTCATGTGGAAAAAAAAACAGTCACAGAAAACATGTATGCTGAGTTAACATCATCAAATTACTTTTCAGTTATGCAGTTGATTTGTGTTTTTCTTCACTGTTTTCTTTCATAATGCTATGTAAGGCTTGCATGTAGTACAACACTGGTATGATGTCAAGCATTTCAATGGGTGAGTCAGTGATTCAGTGAACTAAATTATCACTGCGGAGATTGGCCTTTGAGTTCAAAACATCTTTGCTAGGACATATAAGGAGACTTGCTTTTGTACTGATCTCAGATTGTACACTGTATCTCAGAATTGGAGTTACTGACTCGTTCTGTGAGGATTAAAGAAAAGAAAAGAAAAAGTATGATAGCATAAAAAATAGTTGTTACTTTTCATAAAAAGTTTTGCTTAATAGTAACTTGTTTACTTCTTGATACATTGCTTTAAAATAGTTTGAGAAGTCAGAGTGAACACACGGTTTTCTTTAATTTGTACATTTAAAAATATATAGCAAAGCACGTTAAATGAAATTTTAAGAAATGAATGTATAGAAAGATAAGAAACCTCTTTACATGTTATTGCTCCCTCTAAATTCACACTTGAACTAAAAAATCTTCCCAGCAAGATGCGGGAATATTATTGCGAGTCTGTTCATTCAACTCTACACTACTAGTAACTTCCTTTAGATTTTTAAAAAAAGGTATCAGAACTTCTAAGCATCTGTATTTCTTCTTTCCAGGAACGTTGTCCTATCTATTAGTGGGCATAATGCAGAATCCTTTAACTTTTTCTGCAGGTACAGTATAATTTCTATACATTTTTTCTTTGAGAAATTAGACATTTGTGATTAAAAATGTGGACTAAATAGTATGCTTGTTAATAAAAGCTTAAATAGTAGGCATAACTCATGCCCTTATTTTTCATTACTATTTATTTATAATTACTATTTGTTATTTTTATAAATAAAAACACCTATCACATTAATTGATTGTAGAAGCTAAGATTGTTTTCTTTTTAGGACATGGCTAATTAATGTTACTAAAACTTTAACATATATATAACTCTGCTTGTTTGAATTAGCAGAGTTAAATATTCAGGGTTTGTTACAGTTTTTATCCTTATATATTTGAAAATCACTGCTATATTTGATTCCTGTGTGTCATTGGGGCTCTGATCTATGTGCAAGTCTTGTAAGTCTAAAACAAGAAAATATGTATTTTCTAAATGCAAACTTCACCTTTTCTCCAGCATTTCTATCCTTATTAATATTTATTGTGTTCAACTACACTTCTGCCGTTTTGTCTCTTCAAAAGTTATCTTCTGATGTAGTTTTTCAGTGGAGTGTCTTGAATTTTTGTCTTCATTATTAGTGAGGATATTTACACCACAGCTGTATATTCTGAAGTCTCTAAGTGTTCAGCCATAACTTTTATTTCCTTTCCTTGTTGTTCTGTGTTGTGATACTGGTATTTAAGTACAATTTTTAGCATACACTATTTTTAGTGGTAGCTCTTAAACATAAGTGAATGTTTGATGGATATGACATAAAGCCTAATGGACCCTGCTGAATCATTTTAGGCTGTCTGTTAAGTTTCCATTGTTAGTACTTATGTTAATTAAGAAAAGCACTCTATATTACTTGCCTGGAAGCACTGAGCTTTTGCTGTCATATAAGTTTATACTTTACCTGTTCTGTCAAGACTATGGTAATTCTGATGAAGCTATTCCAAGAGGACATCACGTGAATTGATTTTTGTTGTAGTTCTGTCTAACAGGACAGTTCTTTCAAGGCAGGTAGTACGGAGCATTGTATAAAGGCATCCACTGTGCAGCATGCTCCACATCCATATACTTGGGAGTGAAATAGCTGAAATTCCCATAATTTAAAGAAGGTGAATTAAGGGTATTTGACCATCATGTAGTTAAACTGTGTTATCTTTAACAAAGTTATTTCTGAATAACTGAAGGAGAATACAGACTGTGAAGCTTTTTGCGAACTCAAAAATAAGTTGGTGGGCTTTTCTTTTTGTTTTCTTAAGAAAAATCCATTGCAGTCTGTATCCCATTAACAGCTTTCATGCAGAGTGAACTACAAGGGCTATGTTCTAACTTCTGAAAGTGTTGCTCATGATGGAGCTCATAACCAGATCCTGTATCAGTGTGAAATAATGGTGCTCTACAAATGTACTTGGCTCAGTGCATGTTTGGTGTTCTGTGGCTATCACTCTTTTTTGTCCTTAATACCATGCGCAACCTTTGATTCTTCAAATGTTATGGCCCTTTGAAAATATCAAAGTTATTAACAATTTATTATGATTTATGTGCAACTCTAACATCAGTACGTCTCCTACAAATAAAAGGTTTGAAAATGAATGGCGTTGGAAGTAGAACATATCCATCAGCTACACTTGGTATGGTATTTTCGTGAGCCTTTCTGTACTGTCAACAGGCTTGTTATTTTTCAGCTGAGTATGGAAGTAATGGTGATTGCAAATGCTGTGAGTGACAGCATAACCAGAATGCTACCATTTGTCAAGTAGTAGCATGAGTTCTGTAATTTGAAACGTGCTCTTTCTGCACATATTTTCTTCATATTAAAATATTATATAAGAAAGGTAATTTTTTTACATATACAATGAACAGTGACATACATTTAAAATAGGTGGCTTCTCTGAGTAATGAGAAATAGTTAACTTCTGAGATTCCAAAGTTCCTATGAAAAATTATAAAATCATAATAGAAATGTCTTGTTCTGTCATTCACATCCGTGTAGATATTTGTGTTTGAACAAATGCTGTGTTGTTTTTTTAATATGGCGCTTTATAAGGACACAAAATAACTTTGAACCTTAGAGAGTTAAAATCCCCTTGGATGAGTGGTACTTTTGGATTCATAAAGTGCTTTTGCTAAATATCTCTAAGGTGTAATAACTGTGTATATTGTACAACTGTTATGTAAAATATAAGACTCATGCTTTTTCTAGGAGCTTGCTTAATACTTTCTCGTCTTTTTGAAGTATTCATTAGAAAAATATGCTCATAGGCTGGTAGAGTTTTGCTCCTTGGTATGTTTGTTTTAATAAAAATCATCATCTAAGTTAAAAAAAAAAAAAAAAAAAAAAGATTGTATAGTTTAATATCAATGTTAGTATAGTCATTTGGTGCTAGGAGATCTCAGACTTCAATTAACCATGTAAATGTGTTCCTTAGCATCAGCCCTCACTTTGCTGGAACCCCTGCTGCCTTTATATCATTAACATAAATGCAGGTGCAAATAGCATTTATGCACTTTGATAGAAAGCAGTTGGAGACATTTCACTGTGGGACACGACACTTTCAGATTGTGTACATCTGTTCAAATAATGTATCCAAGCCAGTGACATGAACGCAAGGATAAAACATCTGCCCCTGAGACCATTTGCCATACGGCAGATGCTTACATCTTTATTTATGCAGATGGTTTGTGTGATGAGCTGAGAAATGATGAAAGCAGGAAAGTTTGACAAAGATTTCAGGGCATTGCTTGGGATGGGAAAATATGTTGGCAACAGAACTTAATTTTCAGAGGTCTATTAAAAAAAGATCTGTTATAGTTACTGATGTTTTTAGTAACACAGACGTATTTGAGATATTAACAACATTTAAGAATTCTCTAAACTATTTTTTAAAATCAATTTTGTGAAAAATTGTACTGCAGTTAGAGAAGATAATAGTTTAGTGGGGAGGCTCAACAGATAATAACTCGTTTAATTGCTTTTAACAGGAAGGCTCAACAGCTTTGCTTCAAGATTTTCATATTTTCACGTTTATTTAAAATACTGAGTTGAGTGAAAGGTTTGCACTAAGTAGAATATTTTGCAATACTGAAGTAACCTTGGGAAGTGTGTAAAGACTGTGTGTTAAGTTTCTGTGTCATTTAAGATTTTTCAGCAGAAGCTGTATTTACTATTACAAGAAAAATCAGATTTGTAGGCTAGCCTTTGCATTTTTTGAAAATTACTGTAGATTAATTGGCACAAGTTGCATATCTAAGCTGAGTTGGCACTGAATAAATAAAAAGCAAAACAATGGCTTAGACCTCAGTGCTTAGGCCTGGGGAGCCCTACCCTCCGGGGGTGGATGGATGGGGCTTTGTGCTACACCTGACTCCCTCTGCTGGACTTGTATGACCAGGACTTGCTTTGTCTACGGGAGCAGTTGCCACTCGATGCAGCGAAGCGCTCCAGCTAAACATAAATTTAATGTTAAATTTAATGATATTTTTGCATGTAGCAAATGAAGGATGTCGTCTCTGGCCTACATTCTTGCTAATTGTGTGTCATCTCTGACCTACATTCTTGCTAATTGTGTGTCTGTTTTAATTCTATTGTATGTTGGTACTCCTTTACAAGCATTGGCTAATACATTATCACTTATCAGCAGCATATTCAATCAATTTCTTTACAGTACATCCAGTACAATCTTTTGAAAATCAGTGCTGCCTTAAGTAACACAGCAGCTAGCATGAGCAAGTGTAATAATGTCATAAAGCACAGAAGATAATGGGAATTATGCTTGGGGGTGGGGGACAGCATTCAGATGCTCTAATTTAAATCTTCTGGTACATCCTGCTGCTGGAAGGGCCTAGCTATGTTCAGGCATAGAGCAGCAAGTGATAACTTTCTGTTCTGAAAACAAATATTTTAGCCAGGCTCTTTCTGTAGTTGTTCACTTTCATTTGCTATGGGGACTGTGTTTCCTTTCAAAAATATCCAATCTGTTTGAAGTATTGTGGAGATCCTATGATCTTCATTTTTGTTTTAATTCTTACTGGAACTGATTACAGGTAGCAATGTTTTGCATATCTCAGACAAAACCATGTAGTATGTCTTCTGAAGCAAACTTTCTTGTGATAAAAGAGCATGGGAGAATAGTATAAAAAGCATTCCAGAGCAAAAGCCATAGAGATTCCTCATTCATAGAATCATAGAATGAATCATAGTATCATAGAATGTCCTGGCTTGAAAAGGAGCATAATGATCATCTAATTTCAACCCTCCTGCCATGGGTATGGTTGCCAGCCACTAGACCAGGCTGCCCAGAGCCCATCAAAAGGTAATTGGGTTGGATCATAACAAAAAGAAATGAACTATTTACTAAATCCATCTGAAAATACTCTCCAAAAATCCATCTAAGTTGAACAGTGTGTTCTATATTCCAGTCTCTCCTTTGGAGAAGAGAATTATTAAAGCTATTCATAAGAGAAGACTCAGAACAAGTCAGGCTGTGTCTAACCATCTTCTAATCCTTTGCTCATCTTCAGTGAGGGAATGCTTTTTGAGTGCAAAACTCAGCAGGTAGATACTTCTAATGTCTGAAGTAATACAGATTTGCTCTACGGAGAATCTGTAAGACAAAGCAGTGAATTAATCATTTGTTTTCTCTTACGCAGGACTCTTCAGACAGAAATGCTCTGACTTTAACGTAAAATGGGCACCCTATAAAATGATTAACAGTCTGACTCTTTTTTAGTGCTTTGTTTGCACATCAGCATTTGTGGAGAAAAAAAAAAATCGGGGTGTTACAGTCTTAATTCCCTTACTGTCATAGTAGTAGTTTTCCATCCCATAGAGGGAGGGATGGAAGGAAAGTTAAATTCCCAGTGAGATAAAGATTGATTCTGTTCTCAGCTTATTTGAAAGGTGAGCAAAAATCTAGCTGGAAAATATTTCATGACTTATTCATAAAATAGTTCTACTTGACCTTTTGTGCTGCTCAGTTTCTGAAGAATTCTGCCTTCATTTTTGTAGCAGATTCCATCATTATTGTCTCCTGTACTTAACAAAAAAAGAGGCTCTTAATTACCACTTACATTAGGTGTATCAGGATTTTGTCCAGTTTGATGTGATCTCAATTTCCTATTAAAAAGGATTTTACACTGACATCAACTTTACAATGAATGAATTTGTGTTTAGTCTGTATGTTTCTTGAAATTCACTTAAAGAAATTTAAACTGACAGATCTTCCAGAAATAACTTTGAAAAATCCACTTGCTTTTTTCTTTTGAAACTAATATTTGTTCCCACTTCCTAGAGCACCTAATTCATATTCACAATGCCATTGAAGTTTTATGAATTTATAAATAGTGTTTACATCACCTCCTTTTATCTGTTATGAACAATTATTTCCTCCAGGTGGTTGGAGCACTGAAGCCCTGCTTTGCAAATCTCTGGGGATGGAATCCTCTCTTGAGTGGAATGACTGGGCAAAAAGAACAAAGATAAAATACTGGAACTGCAGTGCTATCTAAATCATTTCTTTTTTAGTCTGAAACTGGCCAGTGTCAGAGCAGCATGGTTTCTAGAAAGTGCACTTGTTAGTTTTGATGTGGTTGATGGTTGAATCTAGTACAGAGATGTATAGAAGCTGGAATGCGCTCTTTTATCACGTATGCATGTAACAGCATCTCTCAGACAGAAGTGTTCTGTTCTTAAACAGAGAAGAACCAGCGTTCTCATCTTCGTAAAGATAAGAAGTGGTTTCAGAGGCCAGGCAACCTTAGATCTATTTGCATGAACATTATTCCTAAGTTTTCTTGCTGTGTTAGAGGGAAAAATGTGTGTGATTTCTTCAGCTGTGAATAATATTACTAATAATTATAGATGCTTTATGTCTTGCTCTTCTGTGACAGTTTTTGTTTCTTGATATGAAAACATTTTAATCTGTTTAAAGCCTGTCATATTAACATTAATATGAAATGAGTAGTTCATAATTTGAAAGATAGTGCCTTCAAAAGGAAAAAAAAACAAAGCTTTTTTAAACTTCTCAAACACAACTGTAAGAAGCTAAGAAGAGTCTTTTGGAAACTATTTAAGGAATACAGGAAGTGTCCTGCTGTTCAATGCTTTTATTGAAATGGGCTTTAATCTTGATCCCATAAAATAGTAAACTTGCACAGAGTTTAAAGCAAAGGAGGTCTCTAAATGGTAAAATGTCTTGTGAACAACTGTCAAATTATATTGATGCTAAAATTACTATTAATTAAATATAGCTCTAAAGAGATCTCATTTCCCTTCTTAGTAATTTAACAAACTGTTTTGATCTTGTTCCTCCAATGGCATGTCAGAACACGTTTTCTAGTGTTTGTACGTTATGTATCTTAGACTTTGTGCAAATGTTCGTGGTTTTCCAGTCTTGCAATAGAGTACTTCATTATAATGTTTGATTTCCCAATCTATTTTAAATTGCACAAAAGAATTCCTATGTAAACGTAATTATGTTATCAAGCATTGAAAGGTAAGGAGTGCAAGATATGAGATTATCCTTGCAGTTTAAATGCTTCTTCATTCCAAATTACATGTCATAGTAATGTTCCTTTCACATCTTAAGTCTACTCATAATTCCTTTATCCCCTTCTGATTCTGTCCTAGACACTTTCCAAATCTCATTTCTAACAATCTTGTCATTTTTCTGCTTGCCCTCTGTATATCCTAGTTTCTCTTTCATGCTGCGTGAGCCCAACAGTTAAGAGCTAAGGAGAGTGAGGCTGTTCTCTTGTTTCCAACACTGATATTTGAAACTAAAACTGCAGTTTTTGGAAAAACCTGATTGAGCCTGAAGCACAAGCACGTTTAGTAGAACATAATCATTGGGAAAAGCTAGTTTCTTAAAGTATCTCTGGAACATATGCCAAGAGCATACAAGTTGGGCCAAATTGGGGCAGCTTTTCAGGAAGACGAGAAATTATTGTGTCCAATGTCAAGGTCTTCCTCTAGTAATGTACTAGATTTTTATTAAAAAATAAAAATAAAAATGCAGGCACCTGGGAATGGCTGACATTTTCTGTTAGTTTTCTAAGATTATCTGAGGCAAATAGCTAGAATGGAACATTCCACTCAAACCATTTATATTTGGCAAAGAGAAATGACTGAACATTGTTTCTTATATGTGGTATATGTGATGTTGGACACTCCTGACTTATGCACTTTATTACCAACTTCACATCTTACAGGTGTGCAGCAAAAGTAGCTTTGAACATAAAAGGCCAGATTCTGTTTTCTAGAATGCTGCCATTCTGTTAATTTATGTAAAATTATGGGAAGTGTCAGTTGGCATAGAACTTAACCTTCTGTATATAAAAAAACTCCATAAAGTTATGGAAACTTCATTTTTCTGAGCTTTTGGTTTTGTTTTTTTGCTGTTGTCTCTCTACCATGATGCTCAAGTTAAATTATCACATCTGTTTACCACTTTAAACAGCTTTATTTCTTTATTAAACTGTTGCCTTGTGTTTCTTGTGTTTGGTATGTAATATATTGGATTTTAAAACATTTGTGAACATGGGAAAAAGGCAAAGACCAAGAAGCAATAGCTTTCTTAATGCATTAACTGAAAGATAATGTTTTATATACTTTTTGGTGCTGAGATCTATTTGTAACTGACTGAAGCACTTTTGCAGGTGGTGTTTTTTTGCATGCTAATCCTGCAGAGAAACAAAGTGTTCAACACAGTATGCTGGGTCAGCAAAAGCAAGAAAGTTGTGCTGGAAAGACAGTATCCACAGGTATTTAGTGTGTATGGAGATTTGGTAAAATTAGTGATGTTTCATATAGCATTGACAGAAATAAGTCTAGTGTTGTGTGTTAGAAAGTTGTTACTCATTTTCTTTCCCAAAGAACTCAGTAGTCACCTTTCTGAAGTTTGCAAAGGACTGCAGAGTAAATGCACATTAAAATATAGTTAATCTTTTTTTTATCTGTATTTTGCCTTTTCTTTCAGAATGGAGTGGTCTTTCTGTGTTACCTTCTGCCAATTGTCCAGTCATACACAAATTAAGTATGTGCCTGCACAAGTAAGAAAGGCTTACAAGAGTTGCTTAAAAAAGAAAAAAGGCATTAATACCCAGTGACTTCAGGAATTCTGAGTGTGTTTTTTTTGTTTGCTTGTTTGTTTTTGTTTTTTGGTTTTTTTTTGTTAATGTTTAAAGCAGATTAGGTGGGAAATGTAATTTTTTCTGGTGCTGTCAGGGATGCCTGAGTTCTCCAGTGTTGCATGCCAAGTGTATAGTGAAAACAAACAGAAAGACATTCAGAAAGAAGGCAAAAAAGATTGTACTAAACTAAATTTGAATGACTTGTGAAGAAAAGGGAGCCATGAATGAGTGGCAGCCCAGTGGAAGGTATTCATTCCTCCAGAGGACTCTCCTCAGCATGACTTGTCAGAAGTTTGATGCATCATTGATTTTTATTGGTGTATCATTGGCCAGTCCTATACAATTTGAGGGTAATATGGAAGTAGGGAAAGCTTATGATATCCTGCAAGTATCAGAGTAATTTGATACTCATATGTATGAGTGTGGTAACCATTAATCTTTCAACAGAGACTTTTAAAGCAAATGGATTAAATTGCATTCGACTTAACCTTGTACTTAATTATTTAAAAGTGTCTACCTATTGCTCCTATTGTGTGCCCAAGTGAAAGACTGAATATGCATCAGTTAAAAATGAGATGAACATCATTCAGAAACATTTGTTTCCTTTATTTCTAAGAAAATTGTTTTGGAGAAGGTATAAAAGCTGCTGCCCTGCGATGGCAGACCTGTAGACTATGACTTGAAAAAGGAATGTGTTCTAAAACAAGGGCCATCCTTAAGAATGCCATCATAGTGCCTCTCATAACTGCCAGTTCCCCTTCTCAGATGCCAGACTTCATTTGCTCAGCTCACAGCTGGCTAGTCCTTGTTAAAAAGGAGTCCTTCAAACTAATGGAAGTACTTTGGAAAGATGGAGTGGAATAGAAGTGGAATGACCCTGAAAGATGCGTACTAATTATCCAGGTAGCTTTCTGGAATGGTAACAGCCAGAGCATATTCAAGTCATTTGACTTCTTCAGTGTCATGGTGGCAAAGACATGAATAACTTCACCAATGTCCAAAGTATGTTGAAAGTATGTGTATGTCCAAAGGTTATTGTTGAAACTTCTAGCAAAGTGTAAATGTAAGAAATAGTTTTGATCATTGATAATACTTGGGTGCTCTGGGAGGGCTCAGTGGAACCTCCAGATTGTGGATTGACTGGATCCTTTTTGCTGATCCAAGATGCTAAATTGTCTTCAAATTAGTGTTCCCCGTCCACATCACAATCTTAACTGAGCCTGAAAGATCATTAGAGAGTTACTCTGCATCTAGCCCATCTCTATATTTAGGCACTGGCTAAGCTGCTTAACTGCAGTAGCTGTGTGGGATGAGGAGGAAATACAGAACTGAGTATCTTTTGCATTCCAGAGGCATGGCAATGAATATTTCTGCATTAAAAGGTCTAATGTAAACTTGGCAAAACAAAACAAACACTACTCGTACTCAAGGCTGCTACCAAACATGGTTTGCCTGGAAAAAATATTCATGATAAAATTACACTAAATGGAAAAGGAGCAAATGGAAAAGAAACATCCCTTCTGAAACAGTTGTATCAATACTTTAGCATTAGGTTAGCTGGAGAAGAAGAATGTTGGTCTAAACAGACCTTATTTCAAACAGCATTTTGTGGTTAACTTTTATGAGAGTCTTGGCCTCTTGAATGGTACTTTCTTCTAAAATACTGTGAGAATAATGTAGACGGTCCTTCTATAAATAAAAGCGATTTTACATCTTGAATTGCAGTAGGCAAATCAACATATTTGAGGAGAGTGTACTTACTTTTATACCCAGTACAATGTGTTATTACTGCAAGCATTTGCTAACCGTGAATTAAACACTCTTGATGCTTCAGCTGCCATCTTTGCATCCTTGTAGTGGCATGTCCACAGCAAAATCTTTTTCCTTGAGTGCATGGCATTTGCTTCCATTAGTTGGAGACCTCCTAACTTGCAGCATGAAGCAGCTCAGTCCTCTAGAAATCTGATGTTCCTAAAATTTTTTGCAGATCAGTGAGTGAAATTTTGAAAAAAGAAGAAGGCAGAGACACAAGGCAGACATGAAGAGCAAATGGAAACTGCTTCATCTTGCTTACTGTGGCACGCTGAATAGCAACTGGTTTGGAAAGTTTATTGTCCGTAAATGGCAGGCATAATCTGGGGAGTAAGTTCACACTCCCTCCCCTAAAAGAAAAATACATTGTTCAATAATCTGATGCATTCAGATTGTACAGTTTGACCTGTTACTGGCTTTGAAGTTCAGAATCTAGTTTGGTTAATATTTAAAATACTTCTCAGAAGCTCTTAAAAATATTGCCTTAAAATCAGCAAGAAGAAGATACCACGGAGGGCACAAACAGTTCTCAGTGCTATTAGCAATCCAGCAGCTGAAAAGATCAGGATTTATCTATGTATAGTGAGTGGAGGTGGGCAAAATAGAGGCACTTAGTGAAAAACAGTGCATGCTTCTAGCTTTTGGAGCATAAGAAGATAATTTTAAAATTTCTGCTTCATCCATGTTGCACAAACTTCTTAGGCCTGGCTTTATTGCTGTGTGTAGGAATCTCTTGGTATTTTTGCAGGATTTGCATGTATGCTGTAGTGCAGTCTTTGCAGAATATCTAGAAGTTGTGAATAATTCTACAAGCGTCAAGCAAAAAAGAAAAGTACAGTTGGTGCCCAGTAGATTCACTGAACTGGGGGATAGATGTACAAGGAGATGTATGATAGACTTGGATTTTGATGCTTTAGATGGCAATAAAGGATCAAAGAACTATGCTCTGTATAGCTGCTCTATAAACATGCTGTAGGTAGAAAGCTTTGAAGAAGCATCAGCCCTACTGTGTACGATCTGTACGGTTTCTGTGCAATTGAGCAGTGAATCTAATGTGTCCTGAAGGCAGTGGATTTATTGCACATGTGCTTACCATGTGTGTGCACGTGCATCTGTCCAGAAGTCTCGGTCATGAAATGCGATAGCTCTGTAACTTCCAGTGCATGTTGCAAAGTGTGTAAAGTCTGGAAAGAACATCCAGTGTTAAAATAAACTTACTGGAGTTTCCAGTGTTGGTAGTCACTCACAGTTACCTCTTCAAGTCTGTAACAGTCTGTAACAATGTATAAACACATTCATAATACAGGATTTAAAAAGGAATAGATACTTCTCTATGGAATTACCTCACTGCCATGGCAATATTTCGGTATTCCAGCATTTATTTTTACATATATTATTTGTATGTTATCTTTTCTTATTTTTTTTTTTTTCTACATCCATCGTTGCCTTTCCAAAATAGTTTTTACGTCTGGTATCCTGGTATCTTTGTGATTGAATTTTCAGTGATTGCTGGATTATTGTTTCCTTTGTTGTTTGAAAAAACCTATTCCAGTTTCTGTGAACTGGAAGCATCGTTAATTGAATTTACTTGAGAGTGGGTAATGAGGCTGTTATATGAAATGGTAGCAGTGCAATTTAGTTTTATATTAAGCCTTTTTTATAGAGTATGTGAAAGGTCAATATATATCTCTGCAGCTGAATGTGGCTTTTACTTTATACATTGTAGGTTTTCCTTTTTTTTTTTTTCTTTTTTTCATTTTCCTTAATTATCCTATTCTCCCTTAAAAGCATTTATGATGTTTACCAACACAAGTAGAAACAGCAAAGAACTGGAGTATCTTAGCCAAATTGCATATTTAAGAAAATAATTGAATAACTTACTTCAACAGTACAGTTCTGTTGTGCTGTAAAAATGGATGAACAATGTGTGTGATTGGGTTTTTAGCAATGGTTCATCTTCTCTTAAGTCCTCATTGATTTATTTATTTTTACACATTTGCATGTTTTATTGCAGTTGTTTTTTTGACAGCTTCATTGGGTAAGCTGTAGCCTGTATCTAAAAAAAGCCACAAATGGTAAATGGTACGAGAATTTTGAAAGATAGCATGATGCCAAATAAAAAGCATGATCAAGCGTGTGCTCAGTAAGCTTCTATACTGTGAAAAGTTTAAATACAATCCATGTTCTGTCAGTTCTTCCAAATGAATACTGAAACCATGCTAGCACAGCTTCTTGCGTGCAAAAGAGCCTTATCACACATACGTCCTGAAGTGTCATGTAGCTTGTAATCTAGAATGAAACATACATTTAAAATAAGAATGAAAAAATGATTTTTTTCTTTTTTTTTTGTTTGTTTTTGTTTTGCACGTGAATATTTGCATTGTTTCAGAGGGTATTTTTGTCTGAGACTTTTGCAGTTCTAAACTTCACTTATTGCTCATTTAAATAACTAATATTTTTAATAAGCTTGTGTTTAATAGTATCATTTGTAAGCAGTTCTATTTCTGCTACAGTAATTTTAAAAAAAGAAATACTATACAGTTTACTATTGTCTGTGTTATTTTATTATTACAGATAAACACAAATCCCCTACGGACATAATACAAACTTTTCAGAAGAAAAGTCAGTTTAGGACCATTGCTCCAAAAATGGTGCCAAAAGTTTTAACATCTGGAATGGTTTCTTGTCTTCAATCATCTTTGCCTGAACAATGTACAACGATTTCAGCAGCAGGTTCTAAACCACTGGTGGTACCAGCTCAAAACTTTGCCATCATGCAGGTTGCTGGTCGCGAGGGTACTTTTTCTCTTTTGGCCTTGCCATACATTACCCCTGCTGTGATACAGCCAAGCCAGCAAACAAACATGGCCCATTCCGAAAACCAAAAGTTGCCTATCCCTCGCTACCAATCTGTAAGAAACAAATTGCTTTGTGACAATAAAACAAGCCACGCCTCTGTCTTGAATACACAGAGCAAGGTATCTACCAAAGGACAAATCTCACTGCAGACTTCCTCCATGACTGCCTTAGCTGAAGACTGTCCAAAAATTCATTCTAGCTCAGATTCATCTGAGCCAGTGATGCCGACAGAGCATAATTCATCTGAAATGATGGTTTCCACATTACAAAGAAAGAACACTTGTGTGGAATCTGGATCTCCTTCAGTGAACAAAACAAAAACTGCTATCAGTAATGTTTCTGGACCATCTATAATTAAAGAGTCTTTAAGCAAGCCAGAAAATTCAAGTAATCCTGTGAAATTTAGCTTTGACTCTGTGAAGACAGCATCTGCAACCACAAAAGAGTCATTCATTATGTCAGAGAAACTAAAGGAAAAACCCACAAATTCTGCAAATTCTGTTTCTGTCCTGTCACCAGCAGTTTTTGGCAGTACAATACAGATGACTCCACCAGCACCAACAGGAAAACTTCCTATTTTGCCTTACTCAAGAATGAAAAATTCAGTGCTTTGTAAATCACAGAGTACTAACGTAAAGGATATATCTGGTATTTCACTAAGACCTGAATGTGAAAAGACACCAGCTTTGGTGAAAACCTTTCATCCTCCTGCTAAAGCATCTAATAAACGATTAGCTGCATCTTTGACTCAAGCCCCCAAACAAACCATTCCAGAAAATACTTTCTCTCCATCCAATAAAGTGGACGTTGACAGCCTTAAAAAGTTGAATGGTACACCCTCTAAAAGGAGAGGCAGGAAGAGAAGAGTCCAAGATGATTTATTGGCTTTTCAGGCCAAGCGAAGGAAATGCATTGTTAATAAATTTAGAGAAGTAAGAGAGAGGGTGAAAGCTGATCTTCAGCCACCTGAAGACAAAAAAGCAGAGGCAGTGAAAAAATACCGTAACATTAGACCCAAACCAGTGGTAGTAGTGCAGGCAATTGCACCGCTGACTTCTACAGCACTGGTAGAGGAAAAGTGTCCTGACCATTCAGACAAAGGTGTTTTTTTAAACAGTTCACTTGCCAATAAATATTCAAGTTATAAATATAATGATACCACATCAGCTACATCAATTGATTTGGGTAGAAATGCGTACTCAGCTGTACCCAAGCCATGGCATAGATGTCACGTATGTAACCATAAGTTCCAGTTCAAACACCATCTTCAGGACCATATGAATGCACACACAAACAAACGACCCTACTCTTGTCGAATTTGCCGGAAGGCTTACATTCATTCTGGAAGCCTGAGCACACATATGAAACTTCATCACAATGAAGGCAAACCCAAAAAGTTTGTGTGTTGTGAATTCTGTGCTAAGATTTTTGGCCATGCAAAAGTATACTTTGGTCACCTGAGGGAAGTGCACAGGGTTGTTATTAGCACAGAGCCTTCCGGTAGTGAGCAACAGATGCAAGATGCTTTGAGGAACAGGGACACAAATATAAAAGAGGCAGAAGAAGCAACAGAAAGGTGAGTGTTTTCAGTGATCAAAAGCTAAGGAAAATAGAATTTCATATTAATTTCATAGAAATTCATAAACATCACCATTATGAAAATTGTTGATTTTTCTTGGTATATATTTTCTCTATAGTAAGATTGATAATGATTTAAATATTTTTTCCTATGGAATCTAGTCAATATATTAAACTATCTAGTGTATTTTAGTTGATTTATGGAATATAAATTATTACATTCACTGAAACATCCAAAGTAGTTTTGCGTGTATTCTAGGAATACCCAACTGGCAGAGGAACAATTTTGGTCAGTTGATAGCTTCTGCCTAACATTTTTTCTTAATCTTTTGAATCTCTGTATCGTATCCACTTTGTGCTTTTTCCCAGAAGATAAGTGAACCAACTGCAATAAGTGAAAAGCAATTCATATTTCAATATTAGCTTGTAGTTTGTTTACACTATTAAATATCATTATCCCATTTCCTTCTCTGGAGTGCTGTGAGCTAATCTGTCTTGTGTGCTGATTACCTCTGCTTTTGCTTTTGCTTTGCCAAGTAAAAAAGTTAGTATGTACCATATTAAAATGGATAGAACATTATTTTATTTCTACTTTATGAGTTTGAGGAGAATTTTCTTGGCACGGTAAAATAGTTAGCATTTTTGTTAACTCCATTCTGCATTTACTTTTAAGTGTGCTTTATTAAGCCCACTGCTTTAACCTGGTGCCTCCACACTGCACTGTGTGTGTATTGCTTTGCGTAATTCCATTTCTTGGGGTGTCACTTAGAGAATTTTTAAGGTACTGAGACTTAAGCAGTGCTTTCCTTTCAGCCATTACTAGTTGTCATACAATGAATCATTTAGTATATCCATTTTGTTAGGTAATCTGTCAAAAGTATATTGGTAAATGCATATAAATAAACGACAGTGTGGTCCTTTTCCTAGACGTTGCAAGAGGGGGAGAGGGGGGGGAGGGTTCTGTTGAGTTTCTTTTGATTGGCTTAACTTAAGCCGGGGGCATATTAACTCATATATATCTCTGTTTCCTTTCTACTGCAGAGCGGTCCTAAATTAGTGAAAGGGGCTGTCCAGTTGTAAATTACCTTTTTAAACTTTTTTAATGCTCTTACAAGCTTTTAGAAAAAGACTACGATTTGAAGTTTTCCTGGTTCCAGCTCAGAGTGAGAGGTGGGACCTGTGGTTTTGGCTTCACGTCAGTCAGGTGCAAGCACGATAGTTTCTGTTAGTAGTCATCTACTGGAAATGCTCATTTGCACTTTTCTAGCACAGAGCTAGAACAGTTTGAAATGACATCACCAAATTAAGAACTTAAAAAATGTTATTCACCTTTTATTAAAAGGTTAGTGGCATTAAAAGATTATTCTTACTGAGATTACTTTGCTATTATGAAGGCAATTAGCCTTCCTGTTATTTTATTGGGTTCTTTAGCTGCTCCTAATAAATTGGATACTGTAGTAGCAGTGCCTGTTTTTAATTAAAAGATTGTTTCATAGATGTCATCTTGAAACTTGCGCAGACAGAAACTGTCATCTCTTTAGTGCATGGCTGGTTCTGAAATAGTTTCTATTTCCTTTTTTATAACAGGGGAAATAGATGCGATTTTGAAGACCTGTTCCATAATCCAGGAGAAGTTAAATTACAGATCAGATGTGGTCAGTGTCAGTTCATTGCGCAGTCTTTTGGTGAAATGAAGTTTCACTTGTTATGCTCTCATGGAGAAGAGATCCAGGGAAGAGTAAAGGAAGGAGCTCTGCAAGGAAATAGAGGAGCTAGAGGAGAGCTTATCAAACATGCAGCTCAATTCTGGAAACAGCGCAATGAAAGAAGACATTTGGCAAAATGCAGTGACAACAAGGAGGAGTTTTATACATTTCCAAAACTGAAAAGACAAATATACCTCCACCATCAAAGTAATGTTGATACATTAACTAAAACTGAAATGACTCAGTCAGGAAGCAATGAAGCAGCCAAGGAGATGCAAAATGTAGGTTGTGGGACACCAAGCAAAAAGATTGAATTTTGGTCTAAAGCTGGATATAACTGCATTTTATGCAAGCAGTTATTTGGAAGAAAAGAGGATCTTTGTAATCATTGGCAAAGTTGTCATAACTGTGAAGACACTTCTATTTTATGGACAATTTTTAGTTTGTTCTCAAAACAGGGAATTTTTGAACTTTCTAGCATTGGTGAATATTGAGGCTCAGTTCTAGTGCTGTGTTGATGAACTGACTTGAGATGCATTGCTTCAGAAGTTTGCTTACTATGGTGGCTTTTTAGTTATCAGTTACAATCTTTGCTCACCTTTGTTTTGTTAAATAGAACATGTATTAATCCATTATCTTTCCAGATGGGTAAATGCAGGCTGATTATGAAGTACTGTACTTAGTATTCACTTTGCAGCAGCAAATACTCAACGCTAATGGTTAAAATGAATAAGACGTTTAAGTTCCATTACACACAGAAATAAATCAGTTTACATGAAGTAATCCCAATCTTGAACAAAATGGCAAACCAGATTGAAAGTGTGATTTCAATCCTGACTGTGGTTCTAGATTTTATGCCAAAACTGTGTTTCTTTGCAGATCAGTAGATCATTTTGAAGGTACATACACACAACCTGCATTCCAGAGCATAGTTATCTTCAAAAACCCTTTACATTTTGTTTTCTGAATTTCAGTCTTTTTGGACACTAAGTTTCTTAGGTGTTATGTTCAGTCCTAGTAATAGCAGGGATCTTTGGACTTCAATGTGAAAAATCTACAGTTTTCTTTTTTCTTTTTTGCCTGTAGACCTTTGATTGAAAACAAGAGTTATTCACTACCTGTGGAGATGGAACTCTCAAAGCTTGACTGCTGTATGAAAGTGAAAAAAAAAAAAAGAAAAAAGGTTGTTTTAAAGATAGTAATTTGAGTTTGTTACTGCAGGGAAATCTGATGTTCTGCAATAGATCACATGCTTCACTGTGAACTTTAAGCACTTTCCATGTTCCTCCAGTGGCAGCAGCACTACTGCTGTGAACACCTTTAGCAGCATTCTGCCTTTAACACTCTTGGTATTTCTCTTTTATTCCTGTGTAGTTGGCCCAGACATAGCTGCAAAGGGAAATTGTTCGTCTGAGTCTATGATACAGGTAATGAGGTTTTTTCACTTGTATCTCCACATCTACTGTACAGATGGATCCAGAGGCCTTTCCCAGCCGTTCTTTGTGATGCTGTGAAGTCACTATATCGCTGTTCAACAGAAATCAGTGTATCAGAAAGCAAACTGAAAAATACACCAATACTATTTCTAAACTACTACTCCATTCATTTCTTCTTGTGGTCAAACTGTAATTGAGGGATTAAGTGATGAAAGAATCATTCCTACAATGCCTTGCGTGGCCTCTCACTGTTTTGCAAAAGAATTTTGTGAAGAGATCTAAAAAATGTTGGGGATTTCAAGGGGAATTCCAGAAGCTGTTGGAATATTTTGTGTATGTATGTTTTTTGTTTTTAAACAGTAAAGGCAGCTTTCTGAGCCAGTGGTTTTGAATGTTGTTTCTTGTACGGTGCTGTGCCTGGTGTTGGACTACAAGACTGAAGCTGAGAAAAAATTAAAAAAGGAAAGGTTTCATAGAAATGCAGGGCTGCTCAGTGAGGTGGAAGAGTCCCTGTGGATTTTTACTTCTTTCTTACTATCTGTTCCTTTGAATACACAACTGATTTGTTCACTGTTTTAAGATAATACTTTGTATGCTGAACTGCTGTAAAAACACAGTTCTTATGCTTGTGTGAAAAACATGTTTTAATGCATACAATATACTGAGTATAGTTTAAAATGCACTGAAACGAGAGCAGTGCTGACACTGAGTTCCCCCTATGCAGGCACAGCACAGATGATGGCTGGGTAGTCCCTCCAAAATACTTTCCAAAAGTTTGTTTTAAAATGATGCATCAGAGCCAGTGATGTAGATGAGTGGTTTAGTGCTATTTTTTTTTTTTTTTTACCAAGAAGAGTCACTCTCTCGTTTCCTTAAAGGAGGGGCTTGCTGTGCTCCTGGGGGAGGTTTGGGACTCAGGAGCCAGTTGGTTTTTTTTATTTTTATTTAACTGGAAATTCTCATGTACAATCCTTCACTTTCATTATGTTCCTGAACTTCTTTCCCCGTCTGTAGTCCAGGCCAAGTGGGTAAACAGGGCCCAGATTTCAGCAATTTAAAACCTGAAAATATGTTTTAAAGCATAGTTCTAAGCTGCTTCTCGGTGTTCTCATAAATGTTTAAAATTAGAAACCTTTTTTTTTCTGAGCCTGAAAGCATTCTTACATTTCAGGCTATTAGGATTATGGTAGATCATGAAAGGTTGGGGTTTTTGAAAATACATCTGTATTTGATGCAAAGCTATTCTTTGTTTTAAAAACGCATTTGTTTTGAATTTGTGTTCAGTTTGATAGCATTTGGAAGTACGAAATAAGCTGTATTTACAGTACTGTTAGATAGTGCTGTTCAACAGAATGGTCGTCATGAGTGCAGTTTGTTGTTTACCTTCAAGTCGGACAAGCTAACATCTGGTTTTGCACAGGAATTATAGTTTTAAATTGTTAAAATGAATGTTATTGTTTTTGTAGCTGTAGTTCTTTTCCCCTCTGATTTTTCATTAAATCTCTGTTTCAGCTTTGCTTTTAAACTTGAAAGCGGTTTCTCGTATGGAAAATTGTTCTTTCATCATCACACCATAAATAATCAAAGCTGGATGAGTTCCTCTGCTTCTCTGGCTTGCCGAATATTGCCCTTCTCCAGCTGCAGAGCTACAGTTTCCTATGGCTAACATATGGCTAACCTATGGCTAACAACTATGCTGCCAGCATGGTTGCTGGCAGTAAATTTTTACTTCATTTATTTATTAGCATTTAGATGTCTGCTGTTTTGCTCCATCAGAGTTTCTGTCATACCTCGTTAGATACCTATTTTATCTACTATTCACTGAGCTCCTTAGAGTCAGTGTCATAAGAAGGATGAACAGGTATTTAGGAGAGTAGATTTCAACCCTAACTTTGTGCAGCTGATGCTGACGTTTGAGAATCACCAGCTTATCTAGGCTCAGCCATGTAGTATATTATATTTCTACAACGCATCCACCTACATACGCATCTTTTTTTGAAAGAAATGTGTACTTCAGATTCAGCTCATGTCAGTTATGATTACCAAACCTGTACAATGTAGGTTTGCGATTATTATGCATAAAGATTAACACACTATTAACTATAGTAGGTTGACTTGTCAAGTTCCTTATGGCTCTAAAAATGAAAATCTCTTCATGCTGTGTCTGACACAGAAAAGATCTGGTCTCATGGAGAAGATTCTGATAGCTTAAAAAGAATGGCAAAGTTTGTCCTCATTTCACTGGGTGGTTTTATAGCTGATCTGTCATTGTTTATGATTTCCTCCACTTTTTCTTAAAGTGCCCTAATTTTTCTTTGTTATTAAGACTAAGGAGGACCCAGGCAGGCAAGTGAGTTTCATGAAGACGTGTTGATTTCCTCTCCCCTTGCAGGCAGACACATCCATGGATCGAATTATCTGGGTGACCTTGCTGTGCAGGCGTGGTGCAGGGCAACATGAAGATCTGGCTTCAGCGTGTGACTTTGTGGCTCACCTTTCTGCAGTTCCAAAGTAAAAATTGTGAATTTAAGTGGAAAAAACAGCATACTTTTCAGACATGAGTGAATTTCTAATTCCTTACTGGCAAACCCTTAAGAAATTCTGGAAGTGACAGTAACGTACTTCTATGTGTGTGCTTTGTTTGGCAGTTTTATTTATGTGGTGGTACCAGCAGCATTCTAAGCCTTGATAGGTCTGGGGCTGTCAAGTGCAAAGGGAGCTTTCTCTGCTTTTTTCACATTTTATTGACTTTTTCATGTAAGCATTAGAAACGATGGGATGAGCTATGACTTCTGCTGCTGACAAAAACATACATTATTCTTAAGTTATTTTGCAGAAATTTGCAATTTAATCTAGAATAACATATTAAGTCAGTGAAAAGTAAATTCTTTCAAAAAGAGATATAAGCAAACTGTCCATGTGTGGGTTTCTTTGCACAATGTAATGGATGAAATTTGTGGATGACAGACCTACTGGTAGATGCCAACAGTTTCCTCTTATCCAGAGTTATTAAGAGTGGCCAAGGGAAGTGAGAATTAAAAAATTCCTTGCTGTTCTGACTTGAATCAGTTACAGACTTGCAGCTAGGTAAGCTCCATCCAGGCTGCTAGACCAGACCCATCACCTGCCAGTTTACCAGGTAAAGCATCTCTCAGCTTTATTCCAAGAAAGTGAAATCTAATGCTGCGTCCTGCAAAGCAGGAACATGACTCGCTCAGTTTCCTGCAGATACATCACTGACGAGTAGCAGTAGGGAAGAAATAAGCTAACTGTAGCTGTAAGAAACAGAAGAGGTTGAATGTCATTTGAGGGTTTTAAGTGCCATTGGAAAAAGACAGAATGTCCCATTGCTAACATAGAAGTGTCTCATACAGGTGTGACAGCATAAAGCAGCAAAGCTGAGACACTGATCTTTTTGTCCCTTTTTCCTTTCCTCTCTCTCTCTTCCTTTCTTCTTTTCCTTTTCTCTTTTTAAAGCTGTCTTGCCTTTTCTGCATCCTCTGAACCATTCTGGCTGAACGCAGTTTTGAAATGACTCCACAAAGTCAAACAGTGCCATATATGATGTCTGTGCTGTGGCCGCAGCAGCTGCGCATGGCTTGACAGGCTGGGGATGTGTGGGGCTGAGGCAGCTGCAGCAAGGCCCGGCAGCCCCATTGCAGCAACCCTGGCCTGCTTGGTGTCTTGGCAGAGAGTTCTGTCAGCGGCACCGCTGGCCTGTCCCCAGCAGTAGGGCTGCCAGCGTTAATGAGGTGTCAGTGTGGGAGCTGGTATTTTAAGCACCGCTACAAGCAATTTTGTGACATTTGTAAAGAAAGAACCGAACTTGGGATAAAAAATCCCCCCACGACCAAATAAAGTGATGGTTTCAGCTGGTGATGTTTCAGTAGTGAGAACATGTTTTGGCACGAAACCGCATCCTTTCTGTTGTTGTAGAGCCTGGCCAGGGCCTTTGTATACCTGCACAAAGGGCTGCTACTCGGAGCGCTCTGCGCTTTCTGGGGCTTCGGGCTCTCTGCCTTTCATTCACAGTGAATACACTGCTTTTTTCTACAGTTGATTTAGGATGAAAATAAAGCATTTTATTTCCTGTATGCTAAGTAATTTTGTGCAGCTTCGGGTTTAATCTGACTTCTGAACATATACCCGATCAAGGAGATCAATATACCTTCCTACAGCTAGAGGCAATAAATGACACAGCAAAGGAGGAAAGCAATAAATATCCCTTTGACCATACCTTTGAAGCAATGCAATTGCTTTTCAGTGGAAGTTTAATTTCTTCATGTTTTTAGTTAAAAGCTTTTATTAATTTTAACTGAAGTAAATATGTTATGCTTTGCTTTTCAAATCAATCCTTTTACAGCTTGGAGTCTTTGGAGCTTGAATCCTCTCCAGCCATTTTCTGCTATCTGCCAATTCCTTGCTAAGTGCAAATCTGACACTGCTGCCAATAAATCCACCTTCATGCCATTTAAAGTCATCTGCTGTATTTCTGTGAAGCTAATCAAAGTCTGTGAGAAGACATTTTTTGAAGGGAACAGAATTCTGGCCATTTCAGTTAAGTAAGTTAATTAAAATTAATAGCAGTGAACTATGAAAGAGAGAAGTGGTACAGTTTGTTTGAACGCTCGCTTATTTTTATTCGCTGTTGCTGGAGAAGTTTTCCAGACCAGAACTGATTTTTGTTCTGCTGCTGTTTGTGATGCTCTCCCTGCCTACTTTCAGACTCCTGAATGCAGTGAGCCCCGGCTCTGACCTGATTGCATCCTTGTGAACGCAAAGCACTGCTTTATTTTTACCTGGTGAGACAGCTGGCCTGATAAATGGATGGGATGCCAGCACTGCAGGAGACAACGATGATGTCTGCGCGGTTCATGGTCTGCAGTTTTCCAGGAGCAGAATTTCCAATCCCTTTACACGCACGCATGAGCCACCAAACACAAACTTATAAAGAATTGGGTCTATGGAACATTTTCTTTGGACTTTGTAGAGCCATACTGTACTCCAGTACTATGTACTCCAGTTATTTTTCTTTTATTAAGTGCACTAGCAGTATGATTATTATACCACCAATATACTTATGGCGAATCTGATTCCTGAAATACACCATGGCCGTCTGGGTTCTTCCAGGAAATTGGATTAATTATTGAATTGTTTGAATTTCATATAAAAAAAACTGCTGCTCTTGCTGGTTAGCAGTCCACGTAAAGTTTAAACAATATTTCTGAGAGTGATTTATTGGTAGAGCGGAAAAGCCTGGTGCTGAATCCATCCACTGGGATTTGCTTACATTAGGAAGCAGTGCAGGTGGCAGTCTGTTTCAGCGCCGAATGGATTTTTCCCTTTTCTCTCTGATAAATGAAGTGCTTATATAAGGTGAAGGATTGGAAAAGTGAGCGGTGCAGAGCCCCTGGGGAGCCACGAGGGCATGGGGCTGGGTTGCTGGGGCTGCTGGGCTGTGCTGAGGGCTGTGGGGCCCTGCTGGGGCCGTCAGGGGCTGCTCCAGCTCAGTCAGCAGCATGGGGACGTGGCTTGAGGAGAGCTGCTGATGGCATCATAGAATCCTAGAATGGTTTGGATTGGAAGGGGCTTTTCAGATCATCTAGTTCCACCCTCTGTTGAAGCGTTCACCTGGAGCTCCCAGTGTAGTGTGCAGCACAGGAGGATGTTTTGAAACTGAACTTGTTTTGTTGCTTGATAACAAATCGTCCCCATAGCTTTATTGTTGTCAACTTCCTGTAAGCTTTGAGCTTCAGTCTCATGTTTTCGTTGTGTGCATAATGGGTAGGATCTTGTTTTGAACTAGTTCTCAACAAATTATTCTGAGTCTTTATTGTACGTGAGAGCTCTCCTTTCCTTTATTGCTAATATGCAAGATATTTCTCCCAAATAATCATTTTGGTGTCATTTAACGACAAACATTTGATGGCTTTTACTATTAAATACTATATGTAAATTCCTCACAGCGTCATATTTATAAAGTGTTTTAGAGCCTGATTATATCTGCCTCTTTAAAAAGGATCCAGGCTCACTAGCAGTGTTTTCTGCAATGCATATCTCTGGAGAAAACTGAGATTGGACTTTTACAGCCAGGACCAATTAGGCTCAGCCCTTCCCTTCTCTCTGCAGCATTTAGACGAATCCCATTTTTCAGGCAGAGCTCGAGCAGCCTGTCAGGTGTCTGGGCTGTCTGTCCCTGGGCACCGTGTTCCCACTGTCAGCCGTGAGAAATAGTGCCCCTTGTGCAGCCATGTCCGAGGAAAGCACGACGATGAATCTGCAAGTTGGAGTTAAAAGGAGAAAGTGCAGTAGTGTTTACTCAGTGCTGAGTGAGGTTTTGTTCTAGTAGATACATCTGCTGTAATATGGGGAATTGTTCTGATGTCCATGGCTTCCTACCTCATGTAGTTACGAAGATTCATCCTTACTTAAAAGAAAAAATGGGTTTTGCCCTTAGTCCATCTTCTGGGAGTGCGCCTACAATGAGGCAGGGGTTTTGAAAAGAAAAAGGGAAAATACAGTGAGTTGCAAATACAGTATAACAAACCATCTATCAAAAAATGGGCAGGAAATCTCTGACAAATGCTGGCAGTCTGAGTGTGAACATTTCCAGATAAAATTTCTGATAGATTGGAGTTCCTGCTCAGCAACTCTGATGACACTGAAATATAATTAAGTTCTTTAGAACTGAAGGAAAACAATCTTTTAGCTTTGGAGGACTTGGAATGGACATTCCTGCTGATATAGAGGCATAGTGCAAAGCTTATCACTTAGAATTGCTGCTCAATTCTATATTTAGTATTTGTTTTCAGTGTTCCTCTCTGACATCATACGAGAATGGTCTTTCACATGGAGCAGAGATGCTACAACTTCCATCAACTTTAAGCCTATGAAGCAGGTGAGTTTTCAGTTTACAGTGTCAGAAGCCTTAAAAAGCCAAGCCATTATAACAAAGCCTCTTGCCATTCACCTTTTCACCTTTCAGGTTTCCTGCCCCTCATTATATTGGTGTTAGATGTAATTCACATCAGTATCAGTTCAGCGCAGCCATCCAGAAGTCTCACTGTCTGCAGGCAAACCATATCGGTGTTCGAATAAACCTCTAAACGCATCCAAATCCTTCTAAAGGCTTTCAGACAACACAGCAAATAGTGCTTAGCTCGCTGTCAAATTGAAGTGATTACTTTATTTCTAAATGCTGGGCTAAAGCAGTGTTCCTTCTTCTCTGGTGAGCGTATGTCAGCAGGCAGTGCGAAGCGAGAGTTCATTTGAATTGCAGAGCAAGTATCTCATTAACTATGAGAGAATTGCATGGTAGCAGGAAAAGTCCCATTCCTTGTGCTGATTGCAGTGATCCCAACAACGGATCAAGAAATCCCA